AGATGGGTATGAGAAGGCCATGGTGTCAGGGACAGCCGTGGGGAGGGACAGTAAACAAATATTGAATGTTTTCTGAATGCAACTGTGTATCTAGGTTTCTCCAGGCTCCTGCAGCCTCATCAGTGCTTAGAATGGAAGGGAGAAGCTTAAGGAGTTCTTGCTCACTCTGATGGAAGTACAGTCTTAGCCAAGGTGACCCTGTCAACCAATGTGACCTCCAGCAATCTTTCTCTAGCCCAGAAATGCTGGGCTCACTGGACAAAGCCTCCTTAGAGTGAGCTAATCCTATCCACCAAGCAACTCCCTTGGAGGCCCTGTCATCTTTTATTCCCTTAAGTGTAGCCAGAGCTCAGGATCCCTAAGATGCAAGTGACACTATAAGCAGACTCTATCCCCCAAAAGTAATCTGCCTGGGTATACTTTGGCTCTTTCCATCCCAAGGAGAGGCAGACACTGGAGCATCCTGACACACAGCACATAGGGATGAGATGCGGCATCAATCAAGATTTGGAAGATCATGAAGGCATCAGTGAACCCCTGATCAAGTGGGCCCCTCCCCAGGGGTCCTCCAGCTTCAGTTCCACCAGTCTGTTTTTTCCCGGACACATTTCCACTCTCCACCTGTGTGTCTGCCCTTGCTCAGCGGCTGCCAGCTAATCTGACCCACTTATCCCAGGAAGGACAGCTAGGACAGAGGAGACTCTGGGTCCTCTCCTAAGCAACATAATACTTAAAGAGTAGCATCTTTGGCTCACTGTGAGAGGAGGAGAGGTCTGATGCATTTGTGGCAAGTCCTGTACTCCAAAGAGGCCAATGACCCTTCAAATGAGCTGCAGCCTACCTTATTCCCACTGCTCCTGGGGGAGGAGGGCTCTAAGAGGAATTGCACGACCCATAGAGCTTCCTCAACACCATGCCTGAATTGATCCCAGAAGCTGTGGTGTCCCTCAAACCTCCATCTCAGAATCCAACCTGTGAGAAGCTGGTAAGAAACCCTGTAATGACTCAGCGCCAGACTCTTCTCCCCTCTCCCCACCAGCCAGAATGAAAGGCAAAATCGAGCAGGCTCCTCCCCAGTGGATGGCCACATCCTCACCACAAACTGAGTCATGGTCACACCCTGCTTGATGGAAAATTACCAGGAGGAGGGAAACAGAAGGTTAAACTCCAGGGGTTTCTAATTTCTCAACCTAAAAATCAGATAAATGCTTAAGGTGATTGATATCCCATTTACTCTGATGTGATTATTATGCATTGCATGCCTGTATCAAAATATCTCAAGTAACCCATAAATATATATACCTACTATGTACCCACAAAAATAAAAAATATAGCCATCTACTCTGTACCTGGAACTAATGAATAAAATAGTACTTTTCCTGACCCTAGTCCTAACCAAGCATGTCCGGGTCTATGAAGTGAGATTGCTTGAGCCCAGGACTATGTGGGAGGCCGCTGTCAACATGTATGTGTGGTATTTGTAATAGGCTTGGCCCTGTGTAGGATAATGCCTTGTTGTTCACACCTGAGTTTCACGGGCTCCAGCTTCCCCACCTCCAAAAGAACCAGGGCTGGGGCAGGGGAAAGGGGCAACTTTCCCTCAATTCCCGCTCCAGGCTGTGGGAGGATTCCTCTCCAGAAACTCAGGGTCCCCACCCAAGTTTCCCTACAATGAAGGCATTCTTGTGTTTGTGGGGTTTTGTTTTTACCTCATATATGTTAAGATATTATCATCTGTGATTTCCAAACTTCTTAGATCCAAAAAGTCCTATTGCTTTTCTTGGCATATGATGTATTTAATTTCATTGCAATTTTATTGACATAAAAAGATCATTGTTATACAGATGCTATTTTTTTTTAAGTGACACCCATGAGGCTAGCTCAGCTATTTGTTTTTCTGGTAACATATACCATCTGTTTGTTCCTTATCATTCCATCATTTGCTAGTACCGCTAAACTGGATTCCAGTGATACAGGGATACTATAAGAAATGCTTACAACTGAGAAAAATCTATTAACAATCTTTGAAATTGAACAGAAATGTTACACTATTTGAGTAGCCACACACCAAAGTTCAGTTGCTGGGACATCGGTGAGAACAGCTGGAGAACGTCTAGGAAACTAACAGAGAGGTTAAAAGAACTCAGGTCCTGGAGTTGGGCAGATCTGGTTAAAAACAGCACTGGCTGGGCAAGGTAGCTCATGCCTGTAATCCCAGCACTTTGGGAGGACTGCTTGAGGCTAGCAGTTCGAGACCAGTCTGGGCAACATAGCATGATCCCATCTCTATAAAAAAAAAATTTTTTTAGACAGAGTTGCTCTGTCATCAGGCTGGAGTTCAGTGGTGTCATCTGTGCTCACTGCAACCTCTGCCTCCTGGGTTCGAGCGATCCACCTGCCTCAGCCTCCTGAGTAACTGGGACTACAGGCATGCACCACCATACCTGGCTAGTTTTTCTTTTTTTATTTTAGTAGAGACGGGGTTTCACCATGTTGGCCAGGCTGATCTCAAACTCCTGACCTCAGGTGATTCACCCACCTCGGCCTCCCAAAGTGCTGGGATTACAGGTGTGAGCCACCATTCCCAGCTACAAAAAATTTTTTTAAAATTAGGCATGATGGCACATGCCTGTAGTCATAGTAACTTGGGAGGCTGAGGCAGGAGGATCACTTGAACTCAGGAGTTCAAAGTTACAGTGAGCTATGATCGTGCCACTGCACGCCAGCCTGGGTGACAGTGAGACCAAGCCTCAAAAAAAAAAAAGACCAAAAACCAAAACTTAGCATTGCCACTAACCAGCTGTGGGACATTATATACATTAAGATCTCTAAAGAAAACCCATCTTCCAGTTTTTTTGTCAGGATTAAATGAAAAAATATTTGTAAAGTGTGAAGACTTTACAACATAGAACCAGAACAGCAGTCTGGTCAGGCTGCCTGTCACTAGCTATGGAATATGACAAATTACTTATGCTCTGTGTCTCTGCTTTCTCATCTACAAAACAGGAATAATTGTGACTCCTTCATAGGCTTGTTCTGAGAAGTACGAGTCAATACACATAGAAAACTTGTAATACTGGCCGGGTGTGGTGGCTCACACCTGTAATCCCAGCACTTTGGGAGGCTGAGGTGGGTGAATCACCTGAGGTCAGGAGTTTGAGACCAGCCTGGCCAACATGGTGAAACCCCATCTCTACTAAAATAAAAATTAAAAACTAGCCAGGTCTGGTGGCACGTGCCTGTAATCCCGGCTACTCGGGAGGCTGAGGCGGGAGAATCCTTAAACCCAGGAGGCAGATGATGTAGTGAGCCAAGATGGCACAACTGCACTCCAGCCTGGGCAACAGAGTGATATTCCGTCTCAAGAAAAAAAGAAATAAAAGAAAGGAAAACTTATATTACTGAGCACACAGTAAGTCATCCAAAGTGTTAGCAAATTATTAAAGTGCTTAACAAATGCCAGCACCTTCTTGGCAAAAACTAAAGATAATGTCAGCTGTCTCTTAATACTATAGAGATGGGGACAAACTCCTCTCAGGAGACAGGTATTTCAGTTAGAATGGGCTCAGTGATGAATGAGGTCATTTACTTGGTGAATTTCCTAGACCTGAAACCAGACTGGGAGAGGAGGGCTTAGAAGACTTGTATATTAGAATGTACTAGTGTTGATCAAGAATGAGCGAAGTTTAAGAAACAGCTTCTAGAGGGATGGACCTTAAGAATGGTACTTGCTACAAAAAACGAGCTGGGCATGGTGGCGCGTGCCTGTAATCCCAGCTACTCAGGAGGCTGAGGCAGGAGAATTGCCTGAACCCAGGAGGCGGAGGTTGCGGTGAGCCGAGATCGCGCCATTGCACTCCAGCCTGGGTAACAAGAGCGAAACTCTGTCTCAAAAAAAAAAAAAAAAAAGAATGGTACTTGCATGTTAAAGCAGGTCAGGACTAGAAAATAGGATAAAGTACCCAGGCAACAAGGTACCTCTCAAGTACAGTGAAGATAATGAAAGATAACAGGTAGTATAGGGTGGGCTTTGTAAATCAAGAAGCTGTAATAGAATTAAAAAACCTATCCTTCAAATGCCAGGCTTATTTAATGCTTTTTGTATTCTCTATGCTTATTTAATATTTCATAAAGCATGTAATCCCAGCTCTTTGAGAGGCCGACACAGGCAGATGGCTTGAGCCCAGAGTTTGAGATCAGCCTGGGCAACACAGTGAAACTCCATCTCTTCAAAATATACAGAAACTATCCGTGCATGGTGGCACCCTGCTGTGGTCTCTGCTGCTTGGGAGGCTGAGGTGGGAGACTCACCTGAGCCTGGAAGGTCAAGGCAACACAGTAAGACCCTGGCACAAAAAAGAAAAACCATGAAATATTTTGAAATGTCCAACTGACTCAGCTATGCTTATAACTTAAGATTTGGGGTACATGGAGCACAGCCTGAAAGGCCAACAAAAGGCTGAAATGAGAATTTAAACAGGGAGAAGAAAAAATTCACTAAAACAATTGGGTCTCCTAGAAAGAGCTGCCTTCCTTTACCACCTTGCTCAGCTTGTGGGATTTGGGCTTTGTTTCATTAAGTGATGCTGCATTCCCTTAGGATGTCTTTATAGATTTCAACTTAGAAACAAACCCCTTCCTGCTCGTGCCACTTCTCCCATAACCTCACTTATCCTGAAGAAACAGGTGGAAGGAGGAAGAGAATAGGGGCCCAGTTGCTGAGATTTAGAGCAAGGGAGACTGGGCAGGTTTTGTGCAGAAAGTAACATGCCCTAATGGACCTTTTAAATTTTGACTAACACTCATTAGTGATATTCTATATCCTCGGTTTGTTTGATCTGCACAACTGGTGTAAAAAGCTGATAGATCTGTAGTAAACTACAATAAATGGACTCAACTTTGATATCATGCAACATAAACAGTCCCAATCCACAGGAAATTCCAGTCTCCCACCCTGGGGCAGGTGCTACTCCAAGGCTAGTCAGACCACAGTGATCATATCCAGTCCACAGCACCTTCCATTTTATTGTTTTATTTACAAACAGGGTGAAGTCAAAGGGAAAGTCAGGGGTTAGAGTCATTCTGGGCCATCCAAATGTGGAGCAGTTCTTGAGTCAAGCTCCACCACGAAGTCCACCTCTTATATCTCCTTTCCTGCCCCTTGGTAATGGCCCCTTGATTCCTCAGGGCAGCTTGAGCTGCTGTACCTGAACACTTTTATGAGGGCAGATGGATCCTGGGGTAACAGGGGTGGTACGAGGGCTGGGGCCCCCTCAGTTTGTGTAAACCTGAGTTCCGATCACACGCATGATTTCCTTCTGTATCTTGGGGTCCTGAGTATTAATGTTGGCATCGCCCACCTGACCATCCTCGTATCTGCCAAAGATAGGGCAAGTGTGAGCATAAGAGGGGGAACAATACCAGAATAACGTCAATCAGTGGAACTGTTTCAAGGTATGGCCATTCCATCCCAGAAGTCAAAGCCCTTTCTCACTACTTTTCATAGTGGAAGAGATTCAGCTTATCTGGTTTCTTCTAGATAGATCCCAACAATCTATACCCATTCCCATCCTCCAGTGATAAAGTCCCAGTGCCAGCTCCACTCAGGTAGCCAAGGACATGTCTCAGATAAATAGACTACTCCCAGTAGCCACACGCCATTACATCCCCACCCTGACTCCTCAGATAATCCCCAGAGTCCTTCTCAGACTTACACAAAGAAGAACCTTGTGCAGACATGGTCGGATACAGGGCACACCCAGATGTTCCCATGCTTCTGGAGATCCTTAGATGTAATCACTGGGAGAAAGAGGGCCAGAAATCATAAATTTAATGCTTACAGCACAGAGTCCAGGCAAGAGAAGGAAGCCAGGCCACTTCAACATCACTCTTGGCCAGATTATGTGCCAAAGTTACATCAGAGATAAAGGTTAGAGACACAGAAAAACAGGACATGGGCAAGCTACCTACCTTCACAAAGTGCTATACAGTTTAGATTCCGACTCTGCAGGAACCTGGACTGAATGGATCGGGTCTGGAAGAGAAGGAGGCAAAGGAGACCAGAGCCAGGTAGACAGGTACAGCTTTCCCTTGATACTGGTTAGCTGATGATTGGGGGTGGGGATCAGAGATATCCTAGGTTCCCAGTAACCCCCCAAAAACTTTGCTTTCCCATAATCAGTATGAATAGGGCCACAGCTTCCATCTTTACATTTTCATCTAAACTCAGCCTCTGCTTTTGTTTGTTTGCTTTCTGAGTCAGAGTCTTGTTCTGTTACGCTGGCTGGAGTACAGTGGCGTGATTTCAGCTCACTGCAACCTCCACCTCGAGGGTTCAAGCAATTCTCCTGCCTTAGTCTCTCAAGTAACTGGGGTTACAGGCGCATGCCACCACGCCTGGCTAATTTTTGTATGTCTACTAGAGCAGGTTTCACTATGTTGGCCAGGCTGGTCTCAATCTGCTGATCTCATGATCCAGCCACCGTGGCCTCCCAAAGTGCTGGGATTATAGGTATGAGCCACCGCGCCCGGCCAGCCTCTGCTTTTATACTCATGACTTAGGCTACATATGACTCCAGAAGTGTGTTCACTTTAGAACATATCTGATTCCTTTAAATAATCTTCAAATCACTCCCCAACCCATCCTCACCCCACTGTTTCCCTGTCCAGCTCTGGAGCCTAAATTAGCCCCAGGGAGAGGTTCTGCCTCATTAGAAAAGTTCCAATACCTGGGGGATGGTATTCATCCTGTTATATCTCTGGACCAGCTCATCCTTGGAAGGCATCCTGTGCTGTCCTTTTCCCATTCCTGTCACAGAACAATACACCCAGTTCATTTATCAAAAGTTTATTGAAGTGCCTACTATGTCCCAGCACTGAGCTAGATGCTCAGCAAAATAGTAGAGAATAGAACAAACAAGATATTTTCCCCCACAGAATTTAGTCTGGTGGAAATTACAGGCAAGAACAAATAATTACAACACAGTACAGTAAGGGGTTGTGATGCAGATTACAGAGCATGATGTGAGCCCAGAGGAGGGAAACTAGCCTAGCCTAAGGGTTTAAAGAAGTCATGGGTGACAGCTAGACTGAGAACTACAGGATTAGGAAGAGTTAATTAAACAGGGGGAAATGTCTGGGCAGAAGTAGTAGGATACAGAAGGCCTGGAGGAAAGATAAGGTAGTGAGTGTTAGTTCAGCGATAATAATCAATTGCAGAGGAGTGGTGAGAAATGATATAGAAGAAGCAAGCTAGGATCAGATCAAGCAGGCTTTGCAGGCCTGTTAAGGCAACTAAAGTTTATCCTCAGAACATTAGGGAACCACTGCAGGGTTCTAAGACGGGGGTAGCACATGAAATCAGCCAGGAGTGAGGGGCCCAGGAGAGTGGGACATCAATACTTTGGTGTCAAGTGTCTGGATGAGTGAAATGAATGGAAAGGAAGCAAGCAGAGCAAGTCAGATTTGCCCTAGTCTCAAAGTTACATTAAAAATCTGACCGGCCAGGCGCGGTGGCTCAAGCCTATAATCCCAGCACTTTGGGAGGCCGAGGCGGGTGGATCACGAGGTCAAGAGATCGAGACCATCCTGGTCAACATGGTGAAACCCCGTCTCTACTAAAAATACAAAAAATTAGCTGG